ACCTGGTAGTTGAGTTCTTTGACCTCGAGAACGTTTGATTTGCCACTGTATGTGAAATACAGACTGTTGTCTTCTTCAGAGCAAAAAATAGCATCCTGGACCTTGGTCTGGAAAAGTTATTAGATTAATTACAATAGTTAATTACAATTCCTAAAGTGCTGTTAAAATTTGAGTTCAGAAAAGGTGAAGCACAAAGGGAAATATATTTTATGGGATATAACAGTATTGTTGATGAGTTACTGTAGTGCAAAAATCTGAAGGGTTGAAATGAGTTATCTGTTAATCAGTGTGAAATGTACATTGTTCTAGCACATGTATGAGGGCCAAATGTGCTATGCTCTTCTTTGCTTTCAGTTTAAATGAGATCACTTTCAAAATGGAGATAAATGTCATATCACTATAAAGAGATTGGATTTCTGGTTTTGAGGAAAAAATGTACTGCTTCAGCAACGTTAGTCTCCTGGATCACAATGGTGCATATTGAAATTCATGAGTTATGGCAGCTAAAAATGAAGGTTTACTGGAATTATGTTCGTTATCGAATTCCACAGGGACTCATTAACTCGATGGCTTTATGAACAAGTAGGTGTGCAACCATGAGTACTGTCTCTTTTTCTCCTCTTTTGTTTTTTAAATTCACAGTTTGTCAACTGGAACTTTGCATTCTGAGATACCAGTTAAAATAACAGTGTCTACTTGACTTGCTTAATCTTTTGCATACAGCTGCGCTTAAGAAGTCTTTGCTGAGGCAGCTTTCTGGCTTTGGGTTTAATTCGGTGTGTGAGCCTGTAGGTTTTACTCTGGCCAGCCATATCTCTCCCACAGCCTTGCGCCGTTCCTACGAGTCAGACTCATATCCTAGCCAAGGCAAATGTACCTGTTCCCTGTGTAGCAGACCCTGTCCATGCCTGTGGTAGCTTTGGCAAATGGTGACCACAAACTTTTTGGCCTCCTCCTACCCTCACAGCAAATGACGCTGGTTAATCTTTTTGGTCTAGATACACAACAGAAAGCAATGTGACACCAGCAGCCTGCAAAGCCATATTAAAGCCCTCCAAGCTCCCCCTGCTGCCAAAGCACTCTGCACTCTTGATTAAGTTGAATGTAACTTTAAAAAAATCACACGTGGTCTCCAGCAAATGTGGGGAGCTGGTTTTACAGCCCAAAGGCATGTCCTGGGAAAGCCAGTACAGGCTATGCTCAGGGACTTTCTGCTCCATCCACGTTTTTCGTTTTTGACATCCCTCTGTCAGGTCCGGCACTGTGGCATCTGAGCACGGCTTGCATGGCAGCGGCCTCATCCCCAGTGTGCTCTCGTGGGGGTGAGGACGCTTCCAGCTCCTCTGTGGCTGGAGGGAGTAAGGGCTCTCCACCTGCGAAGGGCGGTGAAAAAAAAGCCGCCCCCCGGGCAAGCACTGCGGCTGCGGGATGGTCGAGCCCATCGGGTCCCTCCCAGCTCGCTGCAGGTCTCACTCACCGGCAAGCCCTCGCGTGCCACCTGGCTCCAGCCGACACCATCCAGAGAGATTTTTTCAGTGTCTTCCTTCATGGTGGTGGCGGAAGGTCTCAGTCCCTGCCGTGGTTTGACTGTCGTCTCTTTGGAAGCTGTGGAAATCCTTCTCCTCTTGGTTTTGAGCTCAGCCCGTTCCAAGCGCCTTCACCGCAGCACCGTTTCTCCTGGTGCGCCGTGTCTCCACAGCAGGAGTGACCCCATGGACCAGGAAACGTTCCCCACCTGTGGGATGGTAGCAGCTCAGGCTAAAGGTACATCAGATAGTGGCCTCGGCTAATCACCTGTCAGCTGGCAAAAGGGAGGCTGAGCACCCCACCCCGCTCCTTTCTTTAGGGCACCTCCCAGGGTGACGAGCGGTGGGGACAGCGACTCGCTCCGACCCGGGGCAGCGTGGAGCAGCCCCTGCCCAGCGCAGGGATCATGGCGGGGGCAGCGCCAGGCGCCTGCCCAGCTGCATGAAGGAGGTGGCCCGTGGGGCCCTGGTGCCGGAGGATGTCGGGCAGAGGGTCTCCTGCCCCGGAAAGGAGCGGCAGTGGTGAGCAGATGGGCAACATGAAGGCTGTCACACAGTCCTCTGGCAGCATCAGTGTCCAGGGCATCTCCTACACCGTCAGGTAGGAGCGGGGAGGGGGGCTGCCTGCCGGGAGCTGCTCCGAGCCCAGGGAGCCAGGGGAGAGGGGTCGGGACCAGTGGGATGTGGGGAGAAGGAGGGAGGTTGCCAGGTCACCCGCCCCATGGCACCGGGCAGAGTACTGGGCTTGAGGAGGGCAGAGAACTGGGCAGTTCACCAGTTCTTCTTCTCGTGTCTCTGAAGGAGGTGCTTTAAAGGAGATTTCCAAAGATCATGCCCTTTCTTACTGCTGCCAGAAGGATGACAACGAGGCCCTAAGAAGGCAGCCAGGTGGATTAATGGCTGGCAAAGACCGTCAGCAAATAAAGCCTCAGTTTGCGTTTCGCCTTTTAGTTGTAGTCCGAAAGCCTCCTAGCAATCACTCTCAAAAATCCGTTCAGGCTTCGTTTTATCTTCCAGACAACGCTGAAGTTAAAAAGCTAAAGCCTGAGGTGGGAGGAGGAAGAGATATATATATATATATACATTTTTTTTTAAATATTTTAAAATCCTTGCAGACTCGCACCCCACATGCAAGTAGCTATAAACCATTTGCTTACTTGATGCAAAATTTTAAAATCTTGTCTATTTAATGTTTTTTGATGTTTGTTTTTCAAGAGAACGTGTTGGCCCATGGTGGAACGTTTCTTTATATCGTAAAAAATGGACCCGGCAAATACTTAAGGATGTTTCATTTCACATAGAGAGTGGTCAGATTATGGGGATTTTAGGAAATTCTGGTAAGTTGTTCCAGTACTTTAAAAGAAATCAAAACGGAGTTAATAACGGTGACTTCCACAGTGGGATGAATGTGGCTGAGGTCTGTGTTTTAAATAATGAAATTGAGCTGATTTTAACCTCTGCTTTGTAGAATTATGGTGCTTGGTTTTCAGAGTTCAATCTTCTGTCGTCTAACTAACAGTTATAACTTCAATAAAAGATAAGGTTACTTCTAAATGCAAATGTTGCACTATGAAGTGTGAATTTGTATGAATTAAATGATAATTTACACACGTTCTAGGTTTCCCATTTACTTCCCCTTAACTAGCTTCATTTTCAGGACCTATTATTTTAGTGTTACTGAGAAAAAAAACCCACATTTTTCTTTTCCTATGTCTCCACCAAGTGAGGCTACTGTTCTTGAAATCGTAAAATTCATCTCATTAGATGCTCAATTTATTTTGTTTGAAAGGATCTGGGAAAACAACACTTCTGGATGCAATATCAGGAAGATTGGGATATAAAGACAACTTCTTTGGTGAAGTGTATGTGAATGGGTGTCAGCTGAAGAAGGAACAGTTTAGAGATTGCTTCTCTTACGTGCCACAGGTTAATTTCTACATTTATTTTTGTGCTCTGTGCTTCCTCTCATGTAAAGAGAGTAAAGTTGTTAGTGTAATGGAGTAATGTGAGCTGACTGTGATATTACTGGTAAATTTGGTATGAAACAGTTAATAAATTGTATGAATGAATGAAGGTTGTGTGAGCAGGGGCAAATTCTTCATTACCACAGGACTAACTGCTTCTTCCTCTTCACCTTCTTTTTCAGAATGACACTTTGTTGAGCTTCCTTACCATACAAGAGTGTCTGACCTACACTGCTTTACTGACTCTTCAGAGACGTTCTGACGACTTCATCAAAAAGAAGGTCTGTATTCTATCGTCTTCCACCAGAAAGGCAGACGTGATGTCATGTAATGCTTTCACCAGCAGCACTTTCCATCCATGGCTGTGGTTTACGTTTATGTAAGGTTTTGTAATCCTCATTCTGCAAATGGGGAGAAATCCTCCCGCTGAGGAGTAGGACACAAGCTCTCTGGTGCTTCCGCCTCTGCAAGGGGCTTGTGCTGATGCCCCAGGGAATCATAATTATGCTGGGACAAAACTCTCCCTCTCAAAGCTGCAGCAGTTCACTGCTGCAAGAGATGCTGCTGTTGGTATCGAGGTCAGTTCCCCTTCCCCAGCTGGGAAGCCCAGTTCTCTGGGGTGTTTAGGGCTGTACGTGCTGGCAAGTCTCGTGGACAGCGAAGGTGACTCTGGCTCCTGTAGGACACATCTCTTACTAATCAGAACATCTTCAAAAAGCACTGGTCTAAAAAGCCCCCTACAGGCTACTTTCTTGATAAAATAGATGTGTATCAGATCTCTTAAAGGACACTTTTTGCCCACTGTTGGGAGTAAAGATTGGATATTTCTGACCAAAGGCTCTTGCTCTTTATCTTCTCTCTTAACTTGTCTTCCACTCAGTATTTTGTACTTCCCCAGAATTGATGTGCTTTTCTGCTCCCTTATTTTGGAAGCCAGACCAGCACATCATGCTTCATACCTTAATTTCTGAACTCTTCATTTCTTAATGTCAGCTGAAGCTAAAATTCTACTCATTTCAGAATACATGAAAATAAAATTTAAAAAATAATAATTGAAATAATATATTAAAAATAATCAAATCGAAATGAGGCCAGATACCTTCCAACTAGAATGGATGCAAGCAGCATATTGAGAAAACCATAGCTTAAAATTATGTTCATTTTTTCACATACACAGGTATCTGAGTTGGACTGTGTTTAGTCTTTCTAACATGAA